TTAAACCAACCTTTGTATTTAAAACGCTTGCGCCTGCATCTATTTTTTGATTAGCTGCTGGTTGTTTATCATTTACAACAAAACCGCACTAATAAAACAAGTCCATTAAGTGTCCTCTGTGCTTGCCATCGGACTAAGCACTTTTCAGTCATCATATTTAACTCTTCCAGCAGCTGTTAAGCTATATTTGCTGTTTGATAAAGAAATTAAGATACACATTATACAACTCCATATGATTCGCTAGGGATGGATTTACCTTCTCCAGCCTTCCGTGGAAAAAATAACTAAGGAATTGCAGAAATGTTTTGTAGTGAAGATATTTCCAATAAGATTCTTCCCCTCCAGTTATTTTATTTATTTTGGATTGCTCATGAGATATGACAGGTAAGGCAAGTAAAAGTCCCTGTTATTAGAGTAATTGCATCCTAGGAAAATAAGCCAGTTCCTCAAATTCTTCAAGGATTGTGTGCTCTGTTTAAGGTTCATCGGTCCGCAAATATTTGTGGAGGGCACACTGTCAGCCAGAGGCTGTGAGACTGCCCCAGGCTGGTGGTGACTTCTGGTGATTCATACTAGTACACAGTGCTTCTCAAACCGAACGTGTTAATCCCTTGGAAAGTATAAAGCACGTTAATGACCTCTGGTGTTATTTTTATTAGTGTTAATTTGTGTAAAAAATCACTGCATGAAACTCCTTAGATCATTACTAAAAAGCAAGCTGTACAAATGAAACACACACACCACGGGTACTAGTCAAATAAATGACACCAATTTAATAGAATGAGAACTGTCCACAGATAATGGTTTAATAGTAAAAGACTAAGCCCAAGATTTCTAAAATTTAATGTGCTTCTGAATTTGACATCAGGGAAAAGAAAGAATGCCTTTTCCTCTAGGTTACCTGGTATGCACCATTATTAATGAATTTATCTTTTTGTTTCCCACTCACAATGTCAAAATGTGAAGCTCTCTCAGAGAAATTTGCTAATGCCGTTTGAATGGCTTGTCACTTGATAATCGTTGAAAGCCACCTTTATTTACTTGGAGATGAAATTGGTGTTGGGGTCGAGATATGTACCTAAGGCAATAAAAGCTGGAGTTTGGAACTGAAAAATGCTTCGTGGTGGATTTTCTGTTGCTCTCACTGCTGATGGCCAGCTGAGGGGTCACAGACAACCTCTGAGCTGTGTGCTTATTTGCAGCTTTCATGTGTACTGCTGCTCTCGGGTTCTTTTGGTTCGTCCCCTGTGACCACTCTGCCTTGATGTCCTCTGGACGCAACAGAACTTTCTGCACAGCCTGCCTTCCTGTGTCGTTTCTACCTGACTTGTGATACGCTGAGTTAGAGGACAAAGAGGTGGACTGAAGTTGCACAATCGTACACAGGTCAAGGCAACCATCTGGTTGGCTGGGAATGTCCTTATATTTTCCAGTTTAGGTTATTGTTGTTGTAGAAGTAGTAGATTCAAAGAAACTATTGGAGCAAGCTATGAACCCCCGCGACTCTGCCCTAGACCCTTTGGGGAAGCACTCCTGAGGATGTAATGTGACTCTGTGGGTGCTCACTCTTCCTTGCCTTTCATGTCAGCCCTGTGGGGTGCTAAGAAAGTATTCTCTTTTTCTAACATTTGGATGCACAACCACATAGATCTGTGTCAGGGAGAATTTTGGAGGAATTTTTCTTTCTCAGTTCGAACTGCCACACAGAGGTTACAAAGCGGGCAGCTTTGGATATCACCCATCTGTTGCCGATTAACTAAGTGGGACTCTGCCTTTGACTTCCTCATCCAGCATCAGATTTCATATGCATAAGTACAATTGTGTGAGGCTTTGGGAATCGGAGGCACATAAATCAGCAAAAGAAAAAGAGGTCAGTGTGACATTTGTCTGAGATTCTCCAAGGAGGCCTAATGCCTCATTTTCTTAGAAGTCGATGAGGATGGTATTTTTCATTGTTTTTATTTTGTTTTGTATTATTGTTTAATTTAGGTCACATTAGTTAACAGCACTCTTATCAGAGGTATGGGATTTGTGTTCTTAATACGTGAGATCTCCTGGTGTTTTAAAATTCTTACTTTTTAGCCAGAGGGAAGCATAGCATAGTAAAAGTTGCTGCTTCTCTCACCGTGAGCCCCGAATCTTCTTTCATCTCTGCGTTGATTAAAGGTCACAGGACCAGTGACTGTTTCTCCTAAGCTCTTGTGTCAAGAGTTTTAATCACGGATTGACCCCAATGTAGTGTCGGGCGCGCAAGAGTGTGCGGAAGGGGAAGGAGAAATCTGTTTCTGTGCAAGTGTGTACTTTAACCTTCAGAAGGCTCAGTATGCAGACGTAAGCTTTGAAGACTCATTTTAACTGTATTTGAAACCCACATTCTGGGGCCATTGAATAACACTTTTATTTAATGAGTTTTCCCACTTTGTGGGACCTAAATCCCTTAGCGAGGTTCTAGAATTCAGCTTGTAAGAAAGCATACCCTAACTCAGCTGTCCATAAGGCCCCTGCAGGATGGCTCAGATGTTACCTTTCCATTGGGTTCAGATCCTCCAGAACACTGGGAACATTTTTTGGGGTGAAATTCCAGGAATTAGCTGTAAGCTTTTGATCTGCATCCACTTTTTTAGAAGTTTAGCTCAGAAGACAGGAAAGCATTTATGAAAGTGGATTATTTAGCAGTAAAACCCATCTTTAACGACAAGTTCACCCCCTAGAGAAGGTTCTGAGAGGGTCTGCTGGGTCTCTCCCCATGACCCTTAGAATCTCCTTCATACCAGCCCTTTCTCTTTTAAGGTCGACAGGTGTCTCCTCCTCCCTTCAGGTTCGGAGCTCCCCAAGCAGATGTGTGATACCACAGTGGAAATAAGTCCACAACCCCCAGGTTAGGAATCTATAGTAACATCTGCTTCAGTGCTTCGGAGGGGTGAGGCAGAAGGGCATTAAAGGATGTCTGAGGCTGGTAAGCCTGCATTAAACCTTGGTCTGACCTTGGACAGTTTCTGGGCCTCTTTTGTTGCCTGTTAAACAAGAATATTACTCGTATTTTCCTGAATGCATTATTGTAAATGATTTTTGAAATGAAATGTATTTTCTTACATGGTTGAGCATTCATCATTTAATGCACCTGATTCCTTTAGCTCTCGTCCGACTTACTGCACTCATTAACGCTAACCTATGATTTGGTTGTTTAGGTTTTTTGACAAGATGTTTTTATTTCATGTAAAACATGTGTCCAGAGTGCTGTGAACAGTGCCCATGCAAGTGGCAAATACTTTCTAGGCTTTAAGGTGATATGTAGCTGAGGTTTCTTTTTAAAAGTGCCATCAGTGTGCAAAAAAATAAAGAAAAAAGAAAAGGTATCATCATCCTTTCTATCTGTGACCCATAATTACTTGCACTTTATCGTTTGCTACCGAATCGTGTTTCTTGGGTGATAATGACATAGCAGCACGCAGCGCTATCTTTCAGTGGTGCTGATGCGAACACAGACCTGAAGGTGGAAAGCCTTCCTGGAATTTAGAATTTGCGGCAAACAGCAAAACGCTTGCACAGAATCGTCATCTTAAAATGAGTCACCAGCCACTCACTGCAGCACTGCAGATATTCTGCAGGCACTGTGCCAAGGCACAGCTTTCAGAAAGCCATGGGGGTAGGTGACACCACTGGCGGGCAGGTGCTGGAGAACAGGTGGAGTCAATCATTGGGATATGCGGTGTCAGCTGCACCCCTCTCCCCCCACCTCCCCAGCCCCTTTCTGGGATGTATAAACCCAGCAGCCCTTTTGCAGTTTGGGTGAAAAGTGATGGGTGAAATGTTTAGTCCTGTTCAGTCTTCTCCTGTGTAGATCATTCTAATAGGGCACAAGTAAATCTAAATCGGAGAATCCCTGAGAAGATACTGCCCTTTCTGCATCACAGGCAGTGGTGAGAAATAGGTCTGACTGCCAAGCACATTCTTGAGGCAGGCAGGGAGGGAAGGAGAGAAAGCCAGGCTGGAGGCTGCACACCTGTGGGAAGTAGTCTCACTTCCTCCTAGGTCGTGGCATCCCTTTTTATCGTCGGCTTTCCTCCTTGTCAGATGATATTATATTATAAGGGGAATTGTAATGTTTCAAGGGTCTCCGAATCCAGCAGCAGCTTATCTCCTTGCGTTAAGGTTTGAAAGTTGAGCTGTGTAAGGCAGCCAGTGGGGGCCCTAGGGAACCTGAGCCCACCCCCCGGGGACTTTCCCTGGAGGAAAAAATCCAGCTGATTCTCCCAAGATTAGAAGTAGGAGAGATGTGGAGGGAAGACTAGCGCTTGGAAAGGGACTCCATCAAGCTCGAGCCTCTGTATCCAGAGTGTTAGTCTGGTATTGTACCAACTGCATGTTCCCGCAAATCCTTCGGGTCACAGAATCAGCACCCGGCACAGCTCGCCTTGCCAACGAGCACCCTTTTTCTCGAAGCCCCTCATATCTTGCTGCCCTTCCATCATCATGAGTACAGATGCTGCCAGCGGATCTGTGCTCAGCTTTGTCTCTCACCCAGCTGAAAACCAAACAGTAAAGGAAGCCTAAGAGGAACCTACTACCTTCCATTTTTTCTCATTTTCTGAGTCCTTTGAGCTTGCCATGAGGCTCAACATAAAAGCACTGGCTTCCTAAGCTGAAGTGAGTGGGATAATGGCAGATTTGGGGTTAGGAGGGCATATTCATCTCCAGATGTGGCCAGAGTCTTAGACTAAGTCAGTAACAATTATTTTCCCATTATTGGTTCCTGTGTGCTCTTTGGTGTAGCAGAACATACTGCAGCGTGACATTAGCATCCTTAAAGCACTCTCTAGAAATTGTGGACAGGGCTACCTTGAACGCTGAATCATTACCTTATGTTTTAAACGCAGTATTGAAATTTTTGTTGCCAAGAAAACTTTTCTGGTTTGCTGTGTAAACATTGTTGTCTCTCTGGCATTGAACTGCTTTTATGTCATCAATCATTCATGAAAGGTCTTTCCTTTTTCTCACAGTCTGACAGCAATGCGAGCTTCCTCCGAGCTGCCAGAGCTGGGAACCTGGACAAAGTGGTGGAGTACCTGAAGGGAGGCATCGACATCAATACCTGCAACCAGGTGAGAGCGTGATGGCTGCCTCTGTGCTACCGGAGGAAGAAGCCCTCGCGGTCTGTGGGGTACCCCAGAGCTCAAGGGTAGCGGCTGTTCTTCACTGAATATATGAAACTATCAGTGATTGAGACATAAAGTCTTTTCACTTCCTTACCAACTCTTAAAGTCACAGCCATGGTCAGTTAGAGCAACTACTGATGGCAAAGAGATAAATGAATAACAACTGGTGTCCATGTTGTGTGAAACGATCCGGATTATTGACCAAGAATGACATTTTACTTCGCACTTTGCGTCAATTACGGCTTCTTTTCTTCTCTGTGATGTGCTTCCTACTCGTGGGGGTTGTTCCAGTGTGGGATAAATAAGTAAGAGGATAAAATCAGAATTTTTTCTCCATTTGGATTTGTTTTAAAGTACCCACCCACTTAGAATGAGAAGAGAATGCTGGTTTAAACGTAGTGTATCATTCATCCATCACACTAATTCCGTAAGGACTTCGACAATATTATACGTTCTTTTGCATATAATGTGGTCCCAAGGATATTGAGATTTTTGTGCTGCTTTTAACTAACAGTTTTATCCCATGCATTTAAGTGGCTCCTGGGTTACAGGCTCCTGGGTTACAGTATTCATTGTAGTGGGCTAAATGTTTGTGTGTGTGTGTGTGTGTGTGTGTGTGTGTGAGAGAGAGAGAGAGAGAGAGAGAGAGAGAGATGGAGCCAAGAAGGAACTAAATAATCTCAGCAAATTTTAAATTGATTTGATTATTTCCTTGTTGGATTTTAGCTTTCTATAGAATCTCTGTTTCTACCCTGCTATAGTTGAACTCAGTTATGTCCAGTCTGTAGTGGAAAGCTGTTTGAAATACAGCTTTGCAAAACCCGAATCTGACATTTTGTCTTACACCTTCTCTCCTCAAATTTCCACCCGTTGATATTCTCCCCAGTAGATCATTGCAGTGCTACCCAACTCTCCTTCCCCTCACCTGGTCCAGAATTGTTCTCCTATCCTCTCTTCTACGTCCAGATTTGCAGTCACTTAGTACTTCATGGTGGCTGACCAGGGTGGTCACAACAACAGCTTCCTCATACACGTTCTGTGTCAATCTTGTCATGGCCGCCAACCAAAGACAAGAAAACCATCCTGGAACCTCCAATGCCTTCGTTGGTGACATAATTGCATCACAGCCTTCTGGGGGTTAATGCAAAGGGTGTAGGCTTTCCCTCGCTGCTCTTGGGAGTCACCATTATAGACTGCATGGCTCTAACTAAGACACTGTGTGTTATCCTGCAGAGATGTGCATCTCTTGGCATCAACAATGTTGACAGCTGCTTGCTGTTGGGAAAGACAGTCTCCTACTTGCTGAGCTTTTCTGCATATTCTTTGGGGCATGACAAGGATGCAAGACCCTGGCTGTTCTGATCTTTGGGCATTGCTGTATTGAGCTACCATGAGGGATTAGGTGACACCTCCCCCAGACAGAAAAGAGACTTGTGTCTGATCCAGAAGACTTGTGTCTTCTACCAGCATCATGAAACAGTAACATTTTACCTATTTAGCTTGTAGGTAAGATAGAACTCTGTATTACATAGTCCTTGACTCGGTCCTAGGGAGTAAGGCTGAATTCCTTTATCCCAATACATGGGAGCTTTTTCTTCTGTGCCTACATTCTTTTTTTTTTTTTTTTTTTTAAGATTTATTTATTTGTGCATACAGAACTGGGGTACAGGCCAGAGGCTCAGGGGCGGCGAGAGGCTTCACCAGAGACAGAGAGGGGAACAGAACAGGCAGATCGACGAAGTACACTGCTGAGGGGAGCAGCGGGCGGGTCAGGAGAGGTCTGCCGCGCCATGTGGTCACCTCCGGGGCAGGCGGGAATCGAACTCATGCGGAAGCGGCTTTAGATTCTCAGTGCTGTGCTTTAACCCGCTGCGTCACCAGGGAGGGCCTGTACCTACATTCTTTATCCATCTTACGTTCCACTATGAATCTTTTTAATATATGTTTTTAATGTTCTCTGAAAAATAATCCAAACTTAAGTGAGGATAGTTGAACTTATTCCACAAATACCTGTGAGATTAAATATGAAATATAGTTTTAACAAGTTACCTTAGGTTTCTTAAAGCATAAGAAATACATTTCTTTCCCAAATTTTAGTATCAACTTATTATCTTCGTAACGTTGTAATATTCTAAGAAGAAATGAAGCTAGTTTTTAATTAAGGTAAAATTACCATAAATAATGTCAAGAAAGTAACTCAAGGAAAATGACATTAGTTTAAAACCATTTCACATGAAAGTGTAACAAATGTGTCAGCTGGATAAAAGACCTTAGCATGTTTGTAATTTTAGGAGATCTCTTAGTGGCAAATGAGCAAAGCTTAGCAACTTTACAGACAGCATAGCTACTTGAGAAAACCTGAGTAGTCTAATGTATCTGTTCTTGTATTGGCCATTTACCACTAACACATGGCCACTGAAAGGAAGGGCAGTTATTTCTGTGAGAAGGCAAGAAAATCTTAAGAAACCACATAGGTGTCCCTCCTTGGTGGCTGAGGAGTGAAAGTCTCAGGTCTGACCTCTACGGCCTGAGTTCGATCCCTGGCCAGGGAGCAGATCCACATGGCACAGAAGACCTCTCCGCTGCCCCCCATAGCAGTGTATTTCAGTGATTGATCTGTTCTGCTCCCCACTCTGTCTCTGGTGAATCCTCTCAGTCTCCGCACCTCTGGCCTACATGCCAGTTCTCCTATGCAATAGTAAAGTTTTTTTTGGTTTTTTTTTCTATAACAGTTTATTTTTACATCATTTTGTACATTTTTTTTCCATCTCAATTGTAATCCCCGCGAGTTTTCCATCACCAAGTCACCCGTGTGCCATCACCATAGTCCCGTGCACTTCCCTCCCCACAACCCCCCCCCCCGATTTGATCCCATTCCCTAATAGTAAAGTTTTAAAAAAAAATGTTAAAAAGCACAGAAATAAACCCCAAAGACTCACCTTTAAGTTCTTAAGTTCTATCTCCACTGTCATCAAGTCATTTTGATTCAGAAACTGACTTTTTCTAGTCTCTGTAGCAGGATAATAACATATTTGCCACTTACATCACAGGGTGAAATATATATTAAATAATGGAATATGAAGGACTTTCTAAGGCACACAAGTGCTAATAGCTATTACTGTATGTAACTCATTTGAATCAGAACAATTAACATGACCTAGTGACAAGAAGAGGAGATTGATTCTCCTCAGTCACCCGGCCTTATTAGGCATAGAGTAGACATTTGGTGTTGGCTCTTTATTATTATAATCAGGTATGTGCATTAAATAAAAATTAAGGAAAAGTGACTGCTGTGAGCTAATTAGCTTCTGTGTCTCAGGCTTCATGCCTAATCTTTCTGTGTGTTATTTCCATAATCAGCAGAGACAGAATATTCCAAGACAGGCATTTGCCTGAGTTTGCAAATGCAGAAACTGTACCCACCGTGAGAAAGCAATGATTCTGGGATCACACAGATCTCTGTGCCTACTGGATCCAAGTGTAATCTCAGGACATGTCCCTGCGATGGTCGGGCTGCCTTTCGCAGTGTCTCTAGTGGCCTCCTGTATATGGAGGCTCAAACCTTATCTTTACTTGTCCTTAGATTAACGTGACAAAGAGTGTCACCACCAGAATGACAATGAAAACCCAAAATATAGAACAGGAAGTAATTTCTGAACACTAAGCAGAGACAGCTGTTCAGCCAAGCTATCACCATTTCCAAAACACACCCAAGCTCAAAGCTAATATGGCGTATGGCAGAAGCAAAAGTAGCCTCTATTTTGCTTGTAAGCCTGAGTTTCTAGGGAGAATTCTGACATGCAACACTAAAGCGAGCACTGGCTGTCCCCTGTTATATTCCTCAATGAAAGGCAATCTGGCTTCTCCAGCTTTCCAAAAATACACAGTGTGTTGGCGTGCTAAGGTTCCTTAAAATGAAATTTGGATGAAAAAATTTTTCTATGTAAAATTGGTCTCATAACCACCAAGAGAATTTTGAAACTGAATCCAAAAATATCATTTGGCGTTTAATCATGTAAAGGATATGGGGGGGGGGGGAATCATACATTTGGCCCATGGCAATATTCTTTTTTTTAAAAAAAGAAACCTTTGTTCGACAATATGATACGTTCTTTTGCATATAATGTGGTCCCAAGGATATTGAGATTTTTGTGCTGCTTTTAACTAACAGTTTTATCCCATGCATTTAAGTGGCTCCTGGGTTACAGGCTCCTGGGTTACAGTATTCATTGTAGTGGGCTAAATGTTTGTGTGTGTGTGTGTGTGTGTGTGTGTGTGTGAGAGAGAGAGAGAGAGAGAGAGAGAGAGAGATGGAGCCAAGAAGGAACTAAATAATCTCAGCAAATTTTAAATTGATTTGATTATTTCCTTGTTGGATTTTAGCTTTCTATAGAATCTCTGTTTCTACCCTGCTATAGTTGAACTCAGTTATGTCCAGTCTGTAGTGGAAAGCTGTTTGAAATACAGCTTTGCAAAACCCGAATCTGACATTTTGTCTTACACCTTCTCTCCTCAAATTTCCACCCGTTGATATTCTCCCCAGTAGATCATTGCAGTGCTACCCAACTCTCCTTCCCCTCACCTGGTCCAGAATTGTTCTCCTATCCTCTCTTCTACGTCCAGATTTGCAGTCACTTAGTACTTCATGGTGGCTGACCAGGGTGGTCACAACAACAGCTTCCTCATACACGTTCTGTGTCAATCTTGTCATGGCCGCCAACCAAAGACAAGAAAACCATCCTGGAACCTCCAATGCCTTCGTTGGTGACATAATTGCATCACAGCCTTCTGGGGGTTAATGCAAAGGGTGTAGGCTTTCCCTCGCTGCTCTTGGGAGTCACCATTATAGACTGCATGGCTCTAACTAAGACACTGTGTGTTATCCTGCAGAGATGTGCATCTCTTGGCATCAACAATGTTGACAGCTGCTTGCTGTTGGGAAAGAC